CAGGATGTGAGCTCTCAGCTACCGCTTCAGTGCCAGACCTGCCTCCCTACCTGACTGTTGCAAGGCTCCCCACCATGATGGCCATGGACTTGAATCCTCTAGAACCATAAGCCCCATTGAACACTTTCTTTTATAAGTTGCCTTGGTCATGGTGTCTTATTACAGCAATAGAAAGGTGACCAAAACAACAGGTTATATTCTTTGTAAACAGGCATCAAGAATATTAGCTCTGTGTGAGTGTGTGTGTGTGTGTGTGTGTGTGTGTGTGTGTGTGTGTGCCCACAGAGGCCAGAAAAGTGCACAGATTTCCTGCACTGTAGTCTCAGCATCAGGAGGTTGTAAGCCACTGGTCTGAGTGCTGAGAACAGAAGCCTGACCTTCTGAGAGGACAGCAAGCACTCCTAACCACTGAGCCATCCCTCCCTCCAGCCTTTTGACTATCATGGTAGCATTGTATTGCCTGTGAGAAAGCACCCTAACTTAGTTAGCTGGTTTCTATTGTAGGGTCTGCTTTGGTTCTGTTTCTTTGCCATTACAAACCACAGGCAAAGTCATCACTGCAGGCCTACAGAGTTATAAGTTCCTTAACATGTACATAGAACTTCTGACTCAGTGGGTAAACTTAAATGTATTTAAAACCTTGAAAGACATTGCCAAGTTTTCTTCCAAAGGGAATCACATTAATTTATATTCCAATAGCAATCCAGGAATATATTTTTGCTGTACCTTTTCCAACACCAAGCCTTAATACAGAACTGATGGTCTCAGTCCCATGGCTGTTTTAATTTGTAGCTTTGTGGTAATGAGGCAGGGAGGGGGGGACATCTCCCATGCACTCTTGAGGCACGCAGTTTTTCCCAGTAAACTACCCATTATCACCTGGTTTTTCTACAGACCATTTTTTCTTATTAATTTTTAAAGTATTTATTTTATTATTTTTAATTGTGTGTCTGTGTAGGGTGTGTGTACACAAGTTAAGTACCTGAAGAGGTCAGAAGTGTCAGATTTGGAGTTGGAGTTACAGATGGTTATGAGCCACCTGCTATAGGTGCTAGGAAGCAAACTCAGTTCCTCTGCCAGAGTATGCTCTTAACTTTTTATTTGTTATTAAAAGTCCTTTATACAGAGCCTAGAAAGATGGCTCAACCGTTAAGAACACTTGCTGCTTTTGTAGAAAACTTAGATTTGGTTCCCAGAACCCAGGTCAGGCAGCTCACAGTAACCTGTAGCTTCAGTTCCAGGAGATCTGACGCCCTCTTCTGGCCTCTTTGGGCACCTGCACACATGTGGTACAATACAGATGAGCAGGCACACACATACACATATAAAAACAGTGCCTAGCAATATTTTGTGTGTACACAAAGGCTCCTTATATACTAAACAAATTAATGTCTGCCATCTCTATTACACCCCATCCTAGTTTTGCTTTTGGATTTTTTTTATACAAAAAGATTTACATTTTAACATTTTTTAAAAATTGTTTGTATTTGAAACATTTTAAAAGCCATTTCTATCCTAGGATTATAAATTTTTCCTTTTTTTTTGTCCTGGTTTATTATAGCTTTGTCTTTTAAAGTCTTGGCTAAGTTGGAATTGGTTTTAAATGAGACATAAGTATACATGTTTATGAGGTACATTGAGATATTTTGATATAAATTACAGTGTGTCATGACTAAATCTGGCTAATTAGCATATCTGTTACCTCACAACCTATTTGTTTCCATAGAGACACTGAAGCAGGGATCTGACCACTACATCTGGACTATTTCTCCACTGCCCACCTTGGTCACATGTCTGAAGCCTCAGCTTCTACAGTGGTTGTGGTTACTATAGAATTATCATGTACTTTTATTTTTATTTAAAAATTTATTCCATTTAATGTGTGTGAGAGAGATCATCAGGCTTGGCACAAGCTCTTCATCCACTGAGTCATCTTGTCCTTAGTCATATATTTTAGAATGTCCTAGAAGCTCTACTTAATTCTTTACTTTAGGACATCTCTAGTTATCCCTTAGTGTCTGTTTATCCCGAATTTATTTAGCACTGCTTTGACAATTTCTCTTAAAGTCTGTTGGTGTTTACTTGGGATTGCTTTAAGGTAAGAGGTTACTTGGGGAGTGGACAGACATCTTTCTGACAGTCAGTTTAGGAATAAACACCTCCTCGTTCTTTTGTGACACTTACTGTTGGTCTAAGTTTATTATCTGATATTGTATATATTATTGTTGAAGTTCTCAGTCTTCTATTGTGTTAATTATTGTTGATTTATAAGAAAGCTAATGACTAGGCTGACCATTAGAATATGCCTTCCTTTTTGAATGTTTGTTTTTGTGTTTTGAAACTGGGTCTTACTATGTAGACCAGGCTGGCCTCCAACTCCCAATCCTCCAGCTCAACCTCCTGACTCTGGGATCACATATGTGCATTGCCACACCCTGCTCTAGAACGTGCCTGATGTTTCAGGACTAAGCACAGCCCTGACTTTGGTCAGGGATGTTTATTCTCCTTCCCTGTGTATCATGTAACTTTCAAATAAAAAAATCCAAATCGATTCAAGCTAATCTTTCCTCCAGGGTTTATCTGAAAACCAATCTGCGTGTCCCCATGCAGCTTTCTGCAGATCCGCGAGCTCCTGCAGCACCCAGCTGGCCTTTCAAGCTGCAGCTCTGGATCTGGGTACAATGCATAGTCCTTTCCATGCAAGACTTCTAACAGGAATGAGGCGTCCTTTGCTGTAGATCATGGAAGCCTGTCTGGAGGAGCTGTTGCCACTGAGCCCCTATATGTCATGACCGGTGGCACCACAGCCCGAAAGGACCAGCTCTTCTAAGCTTTTGAGAAGTTAGAAAGCTAGATTTTTTTTGTTGTTGCTGTTTTGTTTTGTTTTTAAGTCTTGGCTCAGATATTCTAAAAGCCCCATGAAGTCCAGTTAGATTTACCTAAAGGCTAGGTTAACCTTGGCTTGAGAGCCTGCTTCTCATTCCCACAGACACAATTTAGTCTTGGTGTTCACTGGACTATTAACCACCTAAATGAGCATGTGCCCAAACCCATTTCCTAAATCCTGTCCCAAACTCCCTCTACAGTACGGTCTCCTCTCAGATCTCATTTGAGTATCACAAGGACCCTGAGAGCTCAGAAACATTTCATGGATGGAAGAGCATCCAAAAGCAAAGAGCAAGGAAGTCTCAGCCCTGGATGGGCCCTCTGGCAGTCTTCATGGTACAGTGACAGCACACAGGTCCTGTTGGAGTGTAGTACAGCTACTCATTGGCTGTGATCGCAGGCAGTGTGTTCAGTCACTGTAAGGCTGTTGCTTCACTTATGCAATGGAGATGAAGGTAACAGTAGCCACCTCTCAGTGTTGCCCTGAGCTATCCAGCAGAGGGCCTGAGACTCAGCGAAGGGACAGAGGCCATGAAGCTGAGCTAACCCAGGTTGGCTGCCTTTCCCTTCCTAGACCTCTTTAGTTGTCTATAGGTCCCTGAGAACAAGGACAAGGGTTTTAGAAAACTAAAGGTGGCTCTAACTCAGCCTTTACTCCATAGAGTGGGCACAGCTGAGCTTGGCTTCTGTACCTGTATAATGGGAACACTGTCACTGAGGTTCCTGATGAACCCCACAGGGGACCTCAGGAAATTCTCGCTGGCTGGAGCTTACTGGTTGGCACCCCTCTCCTTACACCTCCTCCCCGAGTCTCAGAGGACTGTGGGCTGTACCCTACAAGCACCGAGAACCAAGTCTCTCTTACTCTATCTGATACTTATGTGGTATCCAGACCAACAAACAGGGTTCAGCTCCCTTTAGCCTGAGCCCAGTACTGACTTAGATGCTATGTCTTAGAGACAGGTCTCCAGTCTGGTCACTAAGGGACCCTTGGGCCTCAGATCTTGCCTCATTCATCCCTCCTCTGCAAACTGGAACACAACTAGATTTCCTGGTCATGGCTCTACCTTCAGGTTATGTCCGTCAACAGGGATCTCTGGCTGGAAACTAAACTCCAGCTCAAGTATAGCCCAGCAGCCTCCACTGTCTGTACACTCTTTATTCTGGAGACTCTCCTGCCTCCTAAGTGTAGGAAAAGGAGATCCCCCTGCAGTAGCAAGTCCCTGCAGTGACCAGCATGAGGGGATTCTGAGCACTCGCAAGTGACACATTCACTTACCAGATGTTTGCTCTATGCTAGGCAAAAGTCCAAGCTCCTCATGGGTGGGAAGCTGGCCATTCTCACAAGAGTCCTGTGCAATAGCCATCACCACCGTTCCCAGCACACAGATTAGAAAACCCCAGCTGGAATCCTGAAACAACTCACTGGAGATTGCTTGAGTGACACACAACAGGTTGGAGCCCTGCAACGAGTGGGTCCCATCCTGGGGATAGAACTTGGGCCCAGCACATACTGGGCAGCACACTGCTGCTGAGTTGCCCCACCAGCCTGAGGGCCTGTACTCTTAATCTTCACATTGATGGTGGTAATGAAGGCTGCCAGGGACGACAGCCCCGACACCCAGCACCTCCTCGCCCCTCTGTCCTCAGCCTCTGCTTGGAAATCTGAAAGGCTAATGATGACTTACAAAGAGTCCTTCTCCTCTTGGAAGATGATGCCAACCAATAGAGTTTCCTGACTCACGAGAGGGAGAGATCCCTGGCCCTACAGGGACCCCTCTGACAGTACTTATTTTCACCTCAGCACTTATTTTTCCTTTAGTTCAATTGAAACAGTATGCAGCCATGTCACCTCATCCACAACCTGTGTCCCCAGCAGTCTGCCACCTAACCCCATTAAAGCAGAGGGCAGTCATGTTCAAAAGCACCAAGAACAGCTTCCCACCTCACACGCATATTCCCATTTCTCTCTCTCTCTCTCTCTCTCTCTCTCTCTCTCTCTCTCTCTCTCTC